GTAAAAACCAAGGTTTTTATATTCTTTAAGCACAATGTTCTTATAACTTTAACTACTTTTTTTGTTGTTTTTCTGATTTCTTTATTTTATTTTTAAGGAGCAGTTTCCAAGTCATTTTATTCAGAATTTTATGTTTCTTGAATCAATAAACACTATACAAAACAATGTCAATGTAAAAATGGCTACCATTTTCTCTCCTCTGCTTCCCCTACATGGGGACAATCCCCTGGGCAGCCTCACTCAGGAGTTTTATGAGCTCTCCCTCCAGATTTGTTCCAGCAAATGAAGTTCAGTGACATAGTCCCTTGAATGATATCCAGAGAAACTCAGCTGGGGTGGGGAGAGCCTCTGGAATCTGGAGGTAACTAGCTTAGGGAAATGAATTAGTGTTTTTGGGGAGAAGAAATGGCCCCTAGGGCAAGAGCCTACCCCAAAGAAAAGGGTGTCTGACGTGTTCACAGTTAACTTCTTTTGCCTCAGGAAGTGGTATTTGTACAGAGAAAAAAGTGACAAGATGTCCATGCCATCCTCACACGCCTGCTGCTCCTCTGCCCCTAACTGGGGCCAGGTAGCAGGACAGCCTCTCAGACAAGGTCAGCAACATTGAGGGGCATCTCCTTAATGGAGATGTTGTAGGTCTCCATGTCTCGATGGGTCTTCTTGTCATCTGTCACCATGAACTTTGATGACTTTGGATGGAAATCTTAAAAAAGATATTCTATACTTTTATGTTTTTTTAAAAATTTATTAAATGTTACAGAATAATTTTGTAGGAATCAGGCATTATTGAGAATATCCGACTTTATATAATGGTGAATATGGTGATGTCATTAGGGAAGAAGAAAGAGAGATACTGTGCTGTGTTTCTGTAGCAGCTGCCCTCAGATACTGTGTGTTTTAAGTTTTTTATCTGCCTCCTCTTTTGCTATAAGGCTGATGCCTGTTATTCTTCCCTCGTTTATCAGCCTTTTCATTTTCTAACTTGTGATTTTTTAATAGGGTGTTGTCTTAGAAACCAGTTAACTAAGCTGGTTAGAATTGTATATAATGTAGGTCAAATAGGCACAGAATCAGAAGAGCTTTTCATGAGCCCTGCAATATTTGTAAATGGACTTTGTAGTATCTTTTTCTTTTGGATGACTTAAAGGTCTTACCACGTTCTCAACTAAGTTTCAGATAAATGTTATTTCCAGGTAGCTGGGTTTTATTTGTATGTAAAGATCGCAGTATTGTCAATACATGAATGTATAGATGACCCTCCCCCTTTTTTTCTTTACTAATTGTTGTAAAAAATGTAAGAATGGGCCGGACGCGGTGGCTCATGCCTGTAATCCCAGCACTTTGGGAGGCAGAGGTGGGCGGATCACCTGAGGTCAGGAGTTCCAGACCAGCCTGGCCAACGTGGTGAAACCTTGTCTCTACTAAAAATACAAGAATTAGCCTGGTGTGGTGGTGGGCGCCTGTAATCCCAGCTATTTGGGAGGCTGAGGCAGGAGAATCGCTCGAACCCGGGAGGCAGAGGTTGCAGTGAGCTAAGATTGTGCCACTGCACTCCAGCCTGGGCAACGAGGAAATGATAGCATGGAGTGACTGCAAGAACTTCTTGATGAGGAAGCAAAACTAGATTTTTATTTGGATTTGGCGATTGTCATCTTTTAGCTTATTTTCACTCGGCCTACAAGGCCAATAAGCGATATGCCTGTTGAACAGGGTACTTGAATATGTTTATCTTTATTCATAATATTCTGAAACTACACAATAGAAATACTGATCTTTGGCAGTATCTTATTCACTAATATATTGCAGTATCTTAAAGACTGTTCTTGTAGCCAAATGGTTAATAATGGCTACATCGAGGATTAAATTGAATATAGGAATGGAGGGGAAAGTCTGTTGCTCTTGAGTTATCTATATTGTTTGAATTATTACAATAATCTGTTGCTAAAATTATTAAAATTAAAGAACAAAAACTGAAATGGCAGGGGGATAAAAGTAGAGTGATCTGCCTTCTAGATGTTTTGCTTGTGATTTGTATAATATTTACCTTTTATTAAGTTCCTCAGGCACTGAACTAGGAACTTGACATGTTCTACCTCTAGTCTTTATAAGTATTATTTATGGATGCGGAGTATTTATTTTCCTCATTTTAAAGTTAAAGAAACTAAGTTGCTCAGCATCATGCAACTAGTGACAGGTAGACCAGAATTTGAAGCGAGGTTTATATGCCTGCCAAAGCTACATTTTTCTTTATTGGGCTGTACTGGATAAAATGCATTCTGGTTGGGAAGGGGAACACGGGCTCTTGCCTTGTGGTTCACATCACAGGGTCAGCTGAGCCAATGATGACTTTTCATTTACAAAGAAATGAACAAATTAAATAACATCTGAGTATGCATGTTTAATATTCTCTGTGTTTATTAAAACACAACTAAAGCTAAATATCATTTTGATGAAGTTTATCTGCATTTTTTCTTTTTCTAGTGTGACTGTGGCTTTTCTCTTAGACTGTAACAGTTTTTTCTAAAGTTCCATCAGAATAGTTCAATAAACTCTTCATGCATCTTTTGGAGAGTTATAATCTATAAGGCTGAAAAGTTAAAATAATTCTTTGCATTTTGTTTAACCTGTTTAACAAATTTTTTGGATGAGTAAACCCCTCCCTAATCCTCTCTCCCTACCACTGTAATATCTGTTCAGATCCCAAGTGTCTGTGGGACATATTTTAGAGCAATGTTTGACTGTAAAGGAACAGTCAAACATTTTAGAGGAATGTTTGACCAAGAATTTTCAATTGGAAAGAAGTTGACGTGAGTCTGAAGTTGAACAGTCTTGGTGCTGAGGAGCTTCAGATCAGCCTAGCAAAAAGGCTCGGACAAGAGCGTTTGTCTTGTGAAAGAGATTTTTAGCTACCTACGTAAAACTTCCTCTAGAAAGATCTGATTTGTACTCTGTGATAGAAAAGGCGTAGGTTTGGGTATCAGAAAGAACTAAATTTGAATCTACAACCGAGCTATTAGGTGAGTGACCATGGAGGATAAAAGTGTCCTTAAGCCTTAATTTCTTTGTCTGTAAAATGAGAATAATGTCTTCTTAAAGGAGAGGCTTTTAGAAGTAGCTATGCAAAACAACTAGCAGAAATTTGCATTTTATGGGTACTTAGAGCACATTGGTTTATTCAGCCCTTCATCCTGTTTGTCGTCCTGACCCGAATGAGAGAGAAAATAGAACAGCAAGAACATGATGAACAGCCTGAAGATGGTTTCTTTTTCCTAGTAGCTGTTTTTCTGGTGGCTGACATCTGAGTTAACCAGCATCTGAGTACGCTGCGTGTCCCTTTTTCATTCAAGTGCTGGAATTAATATGCCAGAATTAACAGTGACTTTGGGTGCTTTGTTGGGGTGTGTGTGTGTGTGTGTGTGTGTGTGTTTTGTTTTTGTTTTTGAGACAGAGTCTCGCTCTGTCACCCAGGCTGGAGTGCAATGGTGCAGTCTTGGCTCACTGCAACCTCCGCCTCCCGGGTTCAAGCAATTCGACCTTGTATGTTTTTATAGTTTGCATATCCCAGTTTTTGTTTGTTTAATAGAACCTAATCTGTATCAAAACTTAACTGCTAATGACATACATGTAGAATAGTTGAAATAGGGATGTAAAGTTATTTTTTCATACTCTCTATTTAGATTTTTGTTGTACGTATTCAAAGTTAATAATTGAAATTATACTTTGGAAGGAGGGAGAAAACTAAATTTATACCTTTTTTATTTATACAGCATTTTATCTGTATTACTGTGGTGCTAGAAAGAAAAACAAAAAACCTTTCATCCTTATATAGCAGTATTAAGGAACATCTCAAGAACTGAGATATTTGACGCAGATGTTTGAGATGTTGATTTGCTTTAAGGACTAGAACTGACCCAGGGGAGACTTCTTTCTTTCTTTTTTTTTTGAGAGGGAGTCTCACTTTGTCACTGGTTGGGAAGGGGAACTGGAGTGCAGTGGCGTGATCTCATCTCACTGCAACCTCTGTCTCCTGGGTTTAAGCAGTTCTCCTGCCTCAGTTTCCCGAGTAGCTGGGATCACAGGTGCACGCCACCACACCGGCTAATTTTTATATTTTTAGTAGAGACAGGGTTCTGCCATGTTGGCCAGGCTGGTCTTGAACTCCTGACCTCAGGTGATCTGCCCACCTCAGCTTCCCAAAGTGCTGGGATTACAGGCGCGAGCCACTGTGCCCAGCCCAGAAGAGAGTTCTCGAGTTCTTCTCTAGTGACTAATAATTTATGATTCTTTTTAATGCACTTAAAAATATTTTATGTAAGACAGACATTTTGACTTCTTATAGCAATGATTCTTTTAGCATGTATTTTTTAAAATTGGTTTTAAAATATCTGCAGTGAAATGGTATTTGAGGAGAAATAGAAATATGAAAAAATACTTGGATTGTGTTTGATTTTATCGTTTTATACTATACGCTTTAAAAAAAATTTTTTTTTTTTTTTTTTTTTTTTTTGAGACGGAGTCTCACTCTGTCACCCAGGCTAGAGTGCAGTGGTGCCATCTCAGCTCACTGCAACCTCTGCCTTCTGGGTTCAAGCGATTCTTACGCCTCAGCCTCCCAGGTAGCTGGGACTACAGCCATGTGCCACCACACCCGGCTAATTTTTGTATTTTTAGTAGAGACGGAGTTTTGCCTTGTTGGCTAGGCTGGTCTCAAACTCCTTACCTCAGGTGATCCACCCGCCTTGGCCTCCTAGAATGCTGGGATTACAGGCGTGAGCCACTGTGCCCAGCCTGCTTTTAAAATTTAGGAAATGAGAATATCCATGTTTAATTTTAATGAGAGAAGCCTTAGATGTCTCTAATGTGTCATCTTTTTTTGGATATTATAACACTTTTTCCTTGTGACTTCCCAGCTGATTGTTACGGTAACCAAATATCAAGAGATAATGTTATGAAATTATTGTCTGGAAAATGTCATGTGACTTTCTAATTTCTTTTCTCAGATTCATAGTGACCACTTAGTAGCTAGTGAGAAACAGCATACGCTCCAGTGGGACGACTTCATGAAGCAGCAACCCAACAAAAGGGCTGAAGTGGATGAAGAGCACAGAAAAGCCATGGGGAGGCTTAAAGCACAATATGCTGAGATGGAGAAGGACCTAGCGAAATTTTCAACTTTTTAAGAACTTGAACCACAACAATCACAAACTAATGTGAATATATTCACCTATCTCCTGAAAAATATTCCCACCAAACCATTTAGCCTCTGCTTCAAGCTTAGCAATATATTCAGTAGCACTCTTGTATCAGAAGAAGGAAGCTTCTACTGGCATTCTGATTGGACGTTTAAAGAAAGGTGCTACATCTTTCCAGCTTTAAGTGCCTATATGATTATTTGAATGAAGAGAAGTAGGAAGGACAATGGAATAAATGTACTCTTTGTTAGTCAGAATTGATCATCTTTTCCATTGATTAGCTCAGAGAACTGTAGGTATAGACTTCTTAAAAAGATCATTTAATTCATTTCTATATAGGGTTAACAATTGTTTATTGTTGTGGCTTAATGGGCAGGTATAGAAGCTAGCTGTCACAGCCTCCTTGGCTGTTGAAAGAACGTACAAAGTGTTACTGCATGAGTAATGCAGACCAAAAAAAAAAAAAAAAAAAACCCAACTGTCCTTGGAGCAGAGCTCACATTTCAGAGAGGTGGGAGTGACAACATTGTCCCTACTGCGGCAAAGATGGCCATGTTGGTATTGGAACTGCCTCTTGGGAAGCGTTGCTCATTTTACAGTGCAGCGTAATGCCACGGGCTTCCGTGGATGAGAAGACACATGTTAAGTTTTGTGGCCTTCCAACACTTAACTATTTTCAGCTTTTACATCATGCTTAGTAAGAACAGCTTACCAAAAATGTATTTTGACATTTAGTTTTTCCAAGAACTATAATCTTGCCCATAGTATTTACCTCATTTTTGTGTCTGTTTTGCTGTGGGTAAGCTTTATAAGATAAATAATATCTATACATGTTTCAACTGTTTAGTGGAGTAATCAACAAAATCTGCCAGGGAGTCCCTCTGGAACCATATAAAGTTCCTGGCTTTGAATGAACCAGAAGTGTTTGCCCACATGGCAAATGGTCCATGTTAAATGTAAATCCTTTTTAGTGCTAATGTCTGTTCTCATAAGCAGGTATATTATGATGAAACATGTACCAGTTCTGTCATCACTGTGATCTTTAAAAACCTGCATTTAACAATCTAATTTGAGGCTGGGTGCAGTGGCTCACACCTGTAATCTCAACACTTTGGGAGGCCGAGGCAGGCGGATCATTTCAGGACCAGGAGTTCAAGCCCAGCCTAGCCAACATGGTGAAACCCTGTCTCTACTAAAAATACAAAAATTAGCCCGGCGTGGTGGTGCACGCTGTAATCCCAGCTGCTCAGGAGGCTGAGGCACGGAAATCACCTGAACTTGGGAGGTGGAGGTTGCAGTGAGCTGAGATGGCACCGCTGCACTCCAGCTTGGGTGACAGAGTGAGACTCTGTCTCAAAAAAAAAAAAAAAAAAATCTAACTGAAGAACTAAGTTGATTTTTTATTTGCCATAAACCAAGCAAAAGTAAATGCAATAATTTCAAGAGATTTATGGTAAACGAATTTGAGGTATGGATAAATCTTTCACATATTTTTTATTGCTCTTTAGTAAAGAAAGGCACACGAAAGAAAATATCCAGCTCTCTTGTGTTATCTCAGTGTGGCGACTGCAGAAAATTGACAATGCCTGCCTGTGTAAATGTATGGCTTACTGTCAAAGCTTCATTCTTGGCTGCATGTTGAAAATGTGATTAAACTTAATAGAGGAGATGAAATAAGTATTTGAGATTTTTTTTCAGTAACACTGAACTTCTGCCAACTTTCTCTATCCGCTACTGTAGGCTTGACAGGCTCATCAATCATTTGCTGGTACCTGGACTAAAAAGCACACTTGCTGACACCAAGGCATGTTGGAATTTTCTTAATTCTCTTTCAGTGGATGGAAAAAAAATACTTCCAAAAATATCCCACACATGAAAAGGGAGGGGAGCCTTAAATCAAAATTCCCTTTGTACCGTGGACACTTTTTGGAATGCGATTAATTGCCAACACATCATTGAACGAATGCTGTAACCAAGAAATTAAGATTGTATGTGTGAGGGGAATATATTCTTAACTGTGGCTACCCAGCTTGTATAGCAAAGATTTCTGATAGTTTGTGTTCATCTCATGTGAATAATACTTTACCTTATAAGTTTGTACATATTCCATAAATACCTAAGGGACTTCCTAAACCAAAATGAAATGATGGGCTTTTTGAGCTTTAGACATTAGTAACATTTTTAACTATTCAGCATAGCTTCTATAAGAGTTGGTTTATTTACCTTCCTTTTGATATTTTTAGTGGTGAACACTTCTGCTTCTGTTTCCCAGTTGCCAAATCACTTTTAAGATGTATTTTATTTACATGTAAAAAATAATTTTAATAACTGCATAATTTGTAACATTCCTTTCCTTTTTTTTTTTGAGACAGAGTCCCACTGTGTCACCCAGGCTGGAGTGCAGTGGCGTGATCTCGGCTCACTGCAAACTTTGCCTCCTGGGTTCAAACAATTCTTGTTCCTCGGCCTCCTGAGTAGCTGATATTACAGGCATGTACCACCATGTCCAGCTAATTTTTATATTTTTAGTAAAGAAGGAGTTTCACCATGTTGGCCAGGCTGGTCTTGAACTCTTAATCTCAAGTGATCTGCCTACCTCAGCCTCCCAAAGTGCTGAGATTACAGGCATGAGCCACTGTGCCCAGCCAGTTTGTAACATTTCTGCTGTGTTTATGCTGTTGAGCAGAGATACTATGGGTTCTACGTTGCTCATCGGATTACTGTAAGGATCAAATGAAATAATGTTTTATATTTTTAAAGCACCATAGAAAGATTTAAGTTCTGTGTATTTTTAATTATGATTTCTTTCTGGACTAACATGTATGAGGCTTTTTTTCCCATTTCCTAGCATGTATATTTTTAAATTTTATGTTTATTGATTTCTGTTTTAATTGAATTTGAATTGTGGACAGAAAATAGGTACAGGTAAGACTGATCTGTTAATATTTGTTGAGATTTGCTTTATGACCTAGATTATAACTTGTTTTTGTAAATGTTTCATGATTGCTTGAAAAGTATGCTTGTTTTTCAGTTGTTGGATGTCTGTTAGACCAAAGTTGTTAATTATGTAGTTCAATTTTTTTCCATTTTACTATTCTTTTGTCTTCTACTTGATCTCTCAGACTCTGAGATGTGTTGAAATTTTCTATTCTAGTGAACTTACCAATTTCTCCCTATAATTTTGTCAATTTTAGTTTTATATATTTTTATATATTTTGAAGTCTTGTTATAATTATAAATATAGACATATAAAAATACATAAAATATATATTATGTTTATATAGATTATGCCAGCTAGCTAGATTTATAGGATATATCTTTTTTTTTATCCTTCTGTTAAACCTTGCTGTTATGTTTTAGATATGCCCCTTAAAAACTGTGTGACTGGGGCCAGGGCGGTAGCTCATGCCCGTAGTCCCAGCACTTTGGGAGGGCGAGGTGGGCAGATCATGAGGTCAGGAGATCGAGACCATCCTGGCCGACATGGTGAAATCCCATCTCTACTAAAAATACAAAAATTAGCTGGGCATGGTGGCATGCACCTGTAGTCCTAGCTACCCAAGAGGCTGAGGCAGGAGAATCCCTTGAGCCCAGGAGGCAGAGGTTGCAGTGAGCCAAGATTACGCCACTGCACTCCAGCCTGGGTGACAGACAGAGCAAGACTCTTTCTTAAAAAACAAAAAAAAGTGTGACTGGGTGTTTTTCTTTCTTTCTGATCATTTGTCAGCTAAGGAGTTCAATCCATTTACATTTGTCAGAATTACTGATATATTGATACTTATTTATATCATCTTATTTTGTGCTTTTTGTCCCACCTTTTCTGTTTCTTGCTTTCTTTCAGCTTGAGTTTTTGTTTTGTTTTTCCATCTACTTTTCTTCTACTTTCAAAGTTAAATATTTCCCAGTTTCCAAATCACTTTTGATATGTATTTTATTTATATGTAAAAATTAACTTTTAATGAAGTGCTTAGTAGGAAATTTAACTTGCATAGTTAACAGAATCTAAAGTAAACATCTTTACTCTCTTCCTGTACATTAGAAATTTTTGTACAAAGTCTGATTTATCTCTTCAACTTACAAATTGTTGCCTGGAATTCTAGTTCTATCTCCGTTTAACTACAAAAGTAGTTATTTTGTACAGTCAGTGTTTATGTAGATTTACCTAGAAGTTTACTATTTTATTATCCTTGAAAGTTAGCTAGGTATACGATTATAGATTGACAGCTGTTTCTCAGTATTTAATAATATTCTACTGTCTTCTTGCTTCCATTGCTGCTTCTGAAATGACAGTTGTCAGTCTGATCAGTATTTGTAGCTAATCTGCCTTCTTTCTCAAGTCATATTTAAGATCTTTATCTTTAGTGTTCTACAGTCAAATGTGGCCATGTTTAGCTGCGTATTTCCTTTCATTGTCCTGTTGGGATTCATTGAGATTCCTGAATCTGAGAATTGGTACTTTTCATAAATTCTGAAAAATTCTCAGCTACTGCCTCTTTGAATATTGTATCTCCCTCATTCTCTCTGTTCTCTCCTTCAGGAAATCAGATTACACTTCCGTTTTATGATCTCACCGTCCTCTCCGTATCTCTTAATCCCTGTTTCATATTTCCCATCTCTCTGTCTCTAGGTGTTGAATTCTGGATAATTTCTTTAAATCTATTTCATTAATTCTGTCTTCACTCTATCTCTAACCTATTTTGCCCATCTATTAAGTTGTTAATTACAGTTATTATATTTTTTGATTTTCAGAAGAGTTGTTTGGTTCTTTCTTAAACTTTCCTGGGTTGCCTGGGATAGTTCCATTATTCCCTCTTTTTCTTTTCTTTAAACATATTAAAAGTACTTATTTTACATTCTGTGTGTGGTAATTTCAATATTTTTTGTGGATCTGAATTTATAGTTTGTTGCTTGTTGTTTTTGCTGAAACAAGTTTATGGTGACTAGTTTCCTAATGTGGTCAGTCATTTTTTATTTAAAGTTTACATTCCTCTGAACTTTCTTTTCGGAGGTTTTTTAAAAATTTCATGTATAGTCCTATAGAGAAGATTTTTTTTTTCCCCTGTAGCATCAATTTGTTTCTTGCGACACTACAAACCACAGACCACTTCAAAATCAGTTTTCACCTTGGATTCCCTGCCTCTCCCTTTTCTGCTCCTTAAGCTTTTGCACCCACACTCACACACAATGTGGATGTCAGCCCTACACACCCGTGACTGTCGGCTGTGATGAGGCGTTCCCAGAGGAGGCATTTTTCTTCCTTTGTATCTCTTCTTGAATAATGAAGAAGGGTAAATTTAGGTGTTCTCCTAGTTTACTTCCTGAGGACAGTGCCCTCTGAGGCTTTACAAATCCTCCTGCTCATCCAGCTCAGTCCTTGTCATGGACTGAATTTTGTCTCCCCTGGATTCATCGAGTAAAGCTGTAACCTCAGTGTGACTGTATTTGGAGATACGGCCTTTAAGGAGGTAATTAAGGTTAAATGAGGTCATGAGGTCATAGGGCGTGGAAGTGAGACCCCAGAGCTCTCTGCACATAGAGGAAAAGTACTGAGATCACAGCAGGAAGGCAGCCATCTGCAAGCCAGGAAGAGGGGCCTCATAGGAACCACATTTTTCAGGACCTTGACCTTAGACTTCTTGCCAGCACGTCTGTAAGAAAATTAATTTTTATTTAAGCCACCAAGCCTGTGGTGTTTTGTTACGGCAGGTGGGAAGTCCCTCACTTTGATTCCTGTCCCTCACGCAGGTATGGCTTCTAACAAGTGGGGCCTTCCTAGGCTGCAGGGATGGGGACGCCTTTAGGGCAGTTATCCAGAGCTCAGTTACCCTATAGAATGTCCCTGTCTCCTGATCTGCCTTCAGTTGTTGTCACTAATTTGCCTTAAATTCAACCAAGAATAATAAATAAAGTTTAAATTGTTTTCTAACATTACTGGTGTTCAGTGGCTAGACAGATTTCTCTGTACAGAAATGGCATGTTAGACAAGTACACGGTGATTTTATTATACTAAAATTTCTCCAAAAAAGAACATGCCCATATTCTAGTGTAAAAGATAGTTTTTTACTTTTCTTTCAATATTATACTAAATCTTTTATATTAGATTATTTCCTATTATCCATGAACTAATAATGGTTGTCTCTATTGCTTCTATTGGATTGGCCTTTTACTGTTTATGAGCTAATGAAGGCAAAGAAGAGTCCAGTAGTGTTCTAAACCTGCATAACTCTTATCTGAATACTCAATTTTGGAATTTTTAATCTTTAGGACATTACCGTGGTTTGCGACAATGTCTCAGGCTACTATTATGGGCATGTTAGATAGAAGGGGCTTGATCTGTGCTATTAAACCCAAAGTGCCATGAAAATCTGGAGGAGTCACAGATGCCTCCAAGATACATAGTGAATTCTCTTCTTTGCTCTTATAATGCATAAACTTTCTATCTGAACATTTCCATGTGCTGTTTGAACAGTTTTCTACTGTGCATATGTCTAGAGGTAGTGGGTTTTCTGTTTGCCATTGCAAATGAAAAGGTAGAGGGTTTTATTGCTTTGGAATTTAGCATAATGTCTGCCTTTCTTGAAATTGTACCCTGGAGGCTTCCCCCCCCCCCATTTGGGGCTGTAAGTCTCTGTCAGGATGAAAAATACCCGAAAAATATTTTAAACATTAATTCA